CACCGTTATTATTTGATTAATCATTATATTGATCAATTAATTTGCCTCGCAATGATCCTAACACATCACTCGATATTATTTTATAAAACAGACCAGAGGATTTATATAGGTTATATGCTAATTTTATATCTATATACAGTACATTGCAGATAAATTTAGCGAGAAAGTGTACTTATACATATGATTCTACTTTGTGATTTTGTGATTACACGTGATACATGTGATGAAAATAAATCGTTGCAACTAATAAAAGTTATAGATAATCCTACCTTTTGTTGTTTTTTATTATATGCCAAACTATGTAAGTAACGTCAGAGACGACCACCATTGTTTCTCTTCTTTTGTGGTGAAGCATTGGGTGGGTTATCACTTGGCGAACGCACTACTTTATGGAAATTAGCAATATGTTCTCGATGATATATCATAATTCTTATCTGCATGAAAATATTATATAGTGAGTACATAATACTTACGTTAAAAACCATCTAAAATATTACCTTGAATTGGCAATCGTTTCTATTATTTTTGGTAGTCTCACCAGGCACTCATTTATTGTTGGTAATATAAAATCATCGTAATTCTTAACCACAAACTCATTATTAATGTAATGCATGCTTAAGAAACTAAAAATTTTCCCTATTTAAATCGATTGAGTTACATTAATTAATGATCTAATGTAATCTGTGCAAAACGTGTTCACATTTACCATGGACTAATACAGCAAAAGTTGATAGTTGTTGCGAAGTTTCATTATCGAGATGTGCACGTTGATTCCACAATGATAATGACATTGCTATGATTCGTGGAGAAATACAGCTAGTCAGCATAGTGTTTTAACTAAATGGTGGGTAATAAAAGGCTTACCTTTATATAATTTTTCTAAGTCAATATTCCTATCAGTTATGTCATTGTTAAAGGCATTGCCTACGACCTCAAGAAACCCGACTTGATATTTCTTTCCGTGTATTATCATGTTGATCACACCGTCATGTTTCATTCCAATTTTTGACCGCTCCTTATTTTCCTTAGTATCATTCCGTTGCACCTTTTGTATTTCGTTCTCAGTTTCTCCGGTTTCAAGCCATATAGAACGTTCAATCATTTCAAATGCCCCCGCAAGCAGGGGATTCACAATTTCCGAGCGATAGCGAAGCTCAGAGGCTTCTTTATCAAATAGAGCACCTCTATTACGTAGAAATTGTCGAGTCCTGATGTGGGAAAAATAAATTATAACAACAGTACAGAAAAAAAAACAAAAAACTTGTTATGAAAAACCTACAAATCAATAAATATTCTCTGACACCAAATCAATTCATCGTCACGTTTATAAGAAAAATCATCATAGGGAGGTTTACTGAACACCGTAATAAGCTTCTTGTGATCAACATCCAATAATTCGTCGAAATGATCTATTATTATCTTATAGTACTTATCTACAAGTTCTTTCATTTTAGATACATTCCATCTTTCTTCGGTTGTTTTTTGGATATTGGCTTCAACCTAATTAATTATTATAAGTTAATAATTCATAATTTACCCAATCCAAAACTACATTACCTTTTCCCATTCATTCTCCAATGTTCTCATTTGATCGGGGAATGTATTGTAGAGTTCTTTCGTATACGGAAATTGTCTATCGAAGTGGGAAACTACCTTGTATGTAGTAGCCAAACGATTCTCCAAATTTTTCAGTACACTTGATTTATCCTTGTAAAAATGATCCATCACATTAATTTAAAGTCCAAGTTTGATACTAATAATATGATGTAAACTATAAATTACCTCAGATACAAACGAACTTAAAATGTTATCGGCAATATCCTCAATTTCGTCATTTCTTTCGTTACCTTCATCCAAGTCATCAAAAAAACCTGCATCATCATTATTAACCTGAACTTGCGTCTGATCTTCTCCGGTCTTATGAAGAATATCAGTAAATTCCGTCGATTGAGGCACCAGTATATTGTTGGTTTGATTTCCACCGGTTGGACTCTAAGCCAGAGAAAAATATTAACAATATATCATAAAGACAAATCAATAAAGATAACTAACTCATCCAGTACCAGCGAAAAAATTACGCTATTTCATGGAGACAAGTTAATAAAATAACTAGCTTACCTTCTTCTAAACGTTAGCTTTAAGTCTATTATCTAAATGACCGAGTGTGCTTGACGTTTTAATTTCTTGATTTTTTCTATTATTCGATATCTGCTGTAAGTACCCATCCCATTTTTTTAAGCTTAAATAAAAAATTAACATACATCAACTTTTCGGTTCTTTTTCTCATCCTCATAAGCGTCCCAGTCGTACATATATTCATCATTCTCCCATTTTCTTTTTAAACTTAGTAATTTGTCTGAATTTGGGTCGTCTTTTAAAGCTTCATGTAAACGTAACTCAATCGAAAGTACCGGACGCTTTACTGCGGTATTTGTACTTCATAAAGAACTTTGTCGGACGAGGATCTTCGCTATTTTTCAAAAAATTTCTTTGCTCTTCGCGAACCTTGTCTGATCTCATAACTGTCTTTGTAATTGAGGAAATAACGCGCTTGTTATTTCTAAAAAGGTATTTGGTTGAACTACTTAACACATGATCCAATTCTTTTTTTGATTGTTCCACGTGCCACAGATCATAATATAAATTCAGACGAAAAAATTTTTCCATTAAAACTGATTAAAGCATAGCTGGTTTACTCGAGCAGAAAAAACTGAGGTTACTCGCTTGTATTCTGCGGACGTTTTCAATATGAAAACCACAATCCCTGCGCAAGCGTCTGCTAGGTATTAAGTTGAAGGTCGGGAAAAAACTGAGGTTATTCATATGGATAAGCGGGGACGTTATTACCATATACCTTGGGAGTCTGTCCGTAAATGAGTGCGCTCGACCAGATGGATACGCTTCAACGCTTGCTGTTCTTTTTCTTTTGCTATACATTATATTTTTGTATTCGTAATAAAAGCCCTAACGTTACATGCCTCCACAGGGAGTATTTTTCATTTGCTATCTCTTTCGACGATCTCACTTTTTATCAATCAAAAATTATTTAGTTTAAAATAAAAGCCAACTTTATTGATTTTTTGGAAGCATTAGCAAGGCTACAAAGTGGAGAATGCTAGAGAAGCGAGAGAAATATATGTTGCTATCAAAGTATCAAAGAGAGAGGGAGTACGCGGATCCTAGGCCATTTAATGCATCACATTATTTCTTTACTCTCGAATAATTTCGAAAAATATCTATAACTAATTTAGTTCTACTTCTATTGCTAATTACGTAATTCTCGCCTCCACACTTTTTTACTATATAGGATCTTTGTAATAGAAAGGGAGAAACTACTAATCTTTACTTTTATATATTAAATATAATTTTTAGGTTAAAATATGTTTAAATTTAGTATTAACTCACTTTTTATTATTTTATTTTTTTATTAAAAAGAAAACTTATAATTAATGATTATAAAAAGACTTTAAAATAAGTATCTATATTTGAATTTGCTAAATATATAAGAATTAAAATAAAAATAATCTCTGATATAATTAGTAAATATAATTGTATATTTTTTTTTAAAAATATAGATTTTATTTTTCTTTAAAATAAATTTTCAAAGTAAATTAAAAAGATAATCTAAGATAATATTTTTTTAATTTATTAAAATAAAATTTTGAAATTATATAATTTCAAAATTTTTGTTATATAATTTCAGTTTTTATTTTTTTATGAAAAAAAGTTAAAGATATAAAATATAGTATAATTTGATAATTTTTAAAGTAGAATAATATATATAAAAATAAGAAATTATATTTTAATAGGTTATTAATAAATAGTAATATTTTTCAAAAAAATTTATAAAATTTGTTAATAAAAGAATTACAGAAATAAATTCAAAATAATTTAAATATAAGGATTATAAGAATAAACTCAAATTATGATAATAATTAATAATAAAAATTATAAAAACGTAATTAAATATATTAGAAAATTAAAAAAAATAATATATAAATTAATTTTATATGTATTATAAAACTTTTCATTAATATATTATATTTAGATTATAGTAAACAACATCATAAAAATCAATAAAGAAAAATAACTAAAAAAATATCTAAAATAGCAAAAAGATAATTATATAATTAAGTTATATCATTATAATTAAATTATACTTAAGTAGTTATCATACTTAATTTAATAATCTCTTTATAATTTAGTTATAAAGTAATCATATAATCTAATTTAGTTTAAATAATTCATTATTACTTAATTAAAATGATTTATTATATTCAATTAAAATAATTTATTATTATTTAATTAGAATAATAATTATATTCTTCTTAAATATTTTATTATCATTAAATAGAATAATTTACTATAATTCTAATTGATAATTTATTCTTAACGATTTATTATTATTTAATTAAAATAATGTATTTTATTTTTTAAATAATTTACCATCATCCTTTTTGAATGATATATTATTGTTTAATTAAAATGATTAAAATTTTGTTTATTTAATGAAAAAAATTTTTTAAAACTAATCTGAATTAAATTAAATTTAGATTTAAAATAATAGAAAAATTGCTAAAATTTTGATTTTTATTGTATTTTAGTTTTTGATATTATTAATTAAAATGTGAAAGATTTTAAAGTTTGATTTTCTAGTAAAATTCTATATAATATATCATTTTAATTAGTTAATTGATCTTAATAACAAATTTTAATATCATTTTTAAATGCTAATTAGTTCTTATTTTATTGTAATTAGCAATTTTCAAAATTATATCTGCAAAACAATTATAAAAATAATAAAAATAATTAATTTTAAAGAGATATGTATAATAATTTAAATTAAAATTATATTAATTATGATTTTTTAAAACTAAGATAATTTCAACTAATTTAATTATTTAAATCAGTGATGGGTTTTGGACATAGTTTTAAATTTTAAAAGTTTTGGATAAGATTTTGAACATAGAAAAAATTGTTCAAAACCTGCTCAAAATATGTCCAAAACTGTCCAAAATTATCCAATTATCCAACACTGATTTAAATAATCAGAATTAGTTTTATATATAATTAAAAATATTATTTGATTTTTTTATATTTTTAATTAAATGTTATTAATATTATCTTATATTAAAATATTTTATTTTTATTTATTTAAAAATAGTGTAGTAACATTAAATATATTATTTATTGATTCTTATTACTTTGTAGAGTCATTTATTATTTAAAAATAAAATTAGGATTTAATAATAGTAGTAAAATTATATTATATGTATACTTTTTAAAAAATGAAGAAAAATAAAGATCAAGGGTAATAGATGATCGCATATTGTATGTATAATAAAAAATTTTTTTCTAGAAAATAAAATTTTATTTTCACTGCCACAATTTTTTTTACTAAATGGCAAACTTTTGGGATTTCGAGTTTCAGAATTACATTTATAGGATATTTGGATTGTATATATTTATAGACAGATTATCGTAATAATGCTTATAAAAAAGACGAGGTAACTATACCCTGAATACCACGATCTATCTGCCAACAATACAAGGTTTTTGATCCGATAAAGGACATTATTATGCATGTTAATGAAGAATTTCCTGTTAGTTCCATTAATTCACTGGCAGACCTATAAATTTGGGCATTTTTAACGAAGGATTTTAACATCAAACGCAAAACACAGACTAATTAGACGTTTCCGCATCTTATCTTTCTCCACTAATTTTAATTGCTTTTCCTTGATGTTCTTGCAATAACAAAGAATTATATACCAGCCTATGTGGGTATAGAAAGAGTTTGTTAAATATCAAAACTAGAAACTACGAAAAATCTTTTATCATTGATCGTTATCATAATCTATAATACTAGCTTCATCACCAACCATTTCAATATGTCAAGATCGGAAACGGACGACAAACAAAAATTTTACTAAAACAGGACCGATCAAAGATCCATAAATGTCAAAGAGCATCGAGTTTTGCGTACAGCGTATAAAGACGAGACTATATCCCCCTTAAGTTCAGCACTATTATTTGCCGATAATCGACCGCGCCAACATTCTGTACTATCTACATGGACCTCAAATAGATTTTAAATAGTACAATATATTTGCAAATCCATTCAGAATTTTAAGCTGGGTGTGTAAACAAACTATTTAAAGAGAGGAATTTGTAAATTACGAAGCATAACCTATTCGTCAGGTCATTGATATCCCATGACGTCAAAATGTGCTCATTTATTCAGTTATATTGCATAAAACTCATTAAAATAAGAAATTGAATTCATCATTATTTTCTTCTAACATTACTTCTTTAAGAGATGAGACAACTTCATGTATATCAGGACGATCCTCAGAACGATACACCCAGCAAGCTGGTTACAAATTAATAAACAAATAACATTAATTTGATTCACATCAATAGATTTCATAAATAAAATAAATTACGAATTACCTTTATATATATTACTGTATTTAATAGGTGTATCTTCATTATCTTCTTCCCTTTGCCCTTTCTTGATTTCCTTGACCAAATCTACATCATATTCTATGCCCTCAGGATAAAAAGGTCTCCGTCCACTTGAAATTTGCCATAATAGAACCCCTACGCTATAAATATCTGATTTATTATTTAGTTCATAAGTTTGAACATCATCTTGGAGTTTGTAAATGCTATTTAAACATTGAGGATCCATATAAGGAATTATCCCAAATTTATTTGTAAATTCATTACTATCATTATTAGTTGAATCTTCGGTTATTTTCCTTGCTAACCCAAAATTTGTCAGTTTAATATTGTTCTGATGTACGAGGATATTGTACGCATGCTAATAAAAGGATAAAACATCTTTTAATTATGCGTCATAAATAATAATATCATAGGATTTAATCTTATTACCAGATCTCCATGAACTATATCTTCATTATGAATACATGCTACAGCATTGCAAAGTTGTAAAGCTAAACGATATTTATCGTTCCAATCAAGTCTGTCAAAATTTTCCTTAAGGTAACTATGCAATGAACCACCGTCAGCATACTCCATAACCAACAGATACTTGTTTATATAATGAATCAACTCGGTTCTTAATTTAGAGATTCCATAAAATCGCAAAACATTTGCATGAAAATCCACTTCTCGTTGTATTTTTAACTAATAATTAATATATTAATATATTTTGTGAAATAATTATAATCGACTAATTTAAACCAAAGTTAGAACAATATATATACGTTTATAAAAATACCTCATTAACGATTTCTTGAACGGTTAATTTATATGATGATTTTAAAACTAATACGGTATCGGAATCTTTCCAATTTGCACGAAAGATATTTCCAACCGAACCGTTGCTAATTTCTTGTATATTATTAAAATGGGAATAATCATAATATTTGATATGTTCTTCGACAATGGCCTTTTCTAACCAATCAACATCAGCATTGGGATCATTTTCTTGAGTATCGAATTCACTTGACATGTTTTACGAATAAAGAAGAAATTATTGAAAAAAGTCCTAACTATTTATTACTAATTATTATTGGTTAAATAGCAAAAATTCACGTGAAGTGTGCATTGTGCTACTAAATCTGGTAATTTCGAGTCAGTTTTTTTTATATTTAATTTTATTTAATTTTGTTTAATTACGTCCGATTTCTCCCATTAATATTAATAATAAGTATTAATAAATATAAAACGCCAATTTTTTTTTATTAAAAAAATTTTGATTACGCGATCAGTCTATCAGTCTATAAAGTATAAATTATAAAAAAAAAAAAATTACATATATATAAAAATTGTCAAAAAATTTTAATTCTCCCAAAGAGCCGCAATCATTGAGGATTTTATGACTCGAGGCATCGTGTACAATTGTTTGTTTATCCACAAATATGGTTCCGAATTATGAAAATATCCCGGTGTATTCATTGCTTCATCCA